GAATCATAACAGTGATTGACAGCTGATAGGAATAAGATTGTTATCATATTCATTCAGACAATCGATGAGACAGTTAATTTACTTATTGCAGCAGTCTTCATAGATTTGGTACCCCTGCTGGTCTAAGAGTGAAACAAACTCATTCAGTTAAAATTCATTAAATGATGTCTGCCACCTTTTATATTTATATGTAAGGCTTTACTGATGTGCCACAATAATGTCACCTGTTATTGAGGTCAAATATCAATATTGTTGATTTCCAAGTTAACATTGATTGATTTGACTGCGATTAAATCAGCATACACTTCTGCCAGGGGATGCCACCCCTCAATCTCCTGCCACCCCATGAATATTGTTCTAGATCCGCCCCTGGATCATCCCAAAATACGCTTTGCAGAAGACCTCAGCAAAGAAGACAGGGAGGCACGAAGGGCTGTCTGGCCGAAAGTTGAACAAGCAAGCAAGGAAGGCAGGACTGAATTGATGATATTTAAAAAAGGTGTAGAAATCATTCCTTTGATTAACCCCTGGAGCGACCAGTGTGAATATGTAACATTCATGAAAATAAAGGTTAGACAAAAGGACTTCTGTTCACACACATATAAGTTTACATCTGTGTCTTTATTGTTATCATGATAACAAAACAGGTGAACACGCAACATCTCAGCTGCTAAGGACAAGTTGTGCGAGATGCACAAACTGAGGGAAAAGTTTTTGAACACTTCGCATCATTCCACTTCCCCCTCCAGTTGTTGAGTACACAGTCTTCACCTCGTCCGCTGTTGTTTGGTTCTCCTGTATGCCAAAAGAAATACTTGGCTGCACACCCATCAGACCACATCCATCTTCCTTCTTTGGCGAGGTCATAGAGTCCGATCCATGTTGCTCCCTCATTAGAGTCAGAGCTTTTGATCAGGAATTTGACAAAATCCTCTTCCTCTCTGCTGTGGATAGACACCAGGTTGCCTCCCTGGGACACACAGTAGAGCTCTGCATCAGCCCAGGTCGTCTCTGTGTTGAAGTACTTGTAGCAGCGGCCGTTGAAGGAGAACCAGTAGGAGGGACAGGTGTCTTGATGGAGCTCATCTGAAGAAGACACAGCACCCAGAGCCAGGCCCAACAGGAAGAGGAAACCCAGCATGATCATGATCATGATGATGATGTCACCGTCTCTGTCTGTTAAAGTTGTACTGACCCGTTGGAGAGGATGGAGATTGTGAAGTTTCAAGTGACAGGCTGCTTCTTATATATGTGTGGGAATGTGACGTCATTGTCACGTGACGTGATCACATGACCGGTGCCCGATAAAATGTAAGTTATAAAAGTTTTTCCGGGCAGTTTCAGAAAACCTTTCTCTCGGCTGGACAGCACGCTCACCGTTATCTCCCTCAAGGTAGGACTCGCGGGTTTAAGGTGGTTTTATGGTCTTTTCAATGAACCTATGGAAGGGTCTCAGGTCAGTTTGGATAGGGCGAGGGCAAGATACGTTTTCCCATCATGGAGGGAAACTCTTCAGACATTCAAAGCACGAGACCTGGGGCCTCATTTATAAAGCTTTGCGTAGGATTCACGTGGGAAGGTGGCTTACGTAGGACAAAGCAAATAAATACGCACAGACATTTTCCGATTCATAAAACACAGCGTACCGGCGACTTGCCGGTTTCTCTATTTTATAAATCACAATCAACTCGAAATGCCGCGCAGCTTTGCGGGCTTCACGTAACGCCCATCTTTGCCTATAAATAGTCAAAAAAGCGCCCCGTATTAATATTCATCATGAGAAGATCGCAGGAAATGACGACAGAACAGCTAAAAAAGACATTTCACACCGAGTCAGATTTTGGTTCTTTTGGGGAGGTGGAGACAAATCACATTGTTTGGTGGATGCAGTTTGAACCAGAGTAGCAGCATGGAGGTCGGATCGTCACCTAAATAAGTGGTCCGAAAAAAAGTTAATGACAAACAAATACACATAACCTTCCTCAGGCAGTGTGTCAGTGTGTTTGTGCCGGGGACAGGAGACACCCCCCCCCCCATGATGAGAAACTGTAAGAAAGTATCGGGGAATCCCTCCGGAGTGGAGTCATGACGACTGGATCTGAATTATTAATTTGTATTTGGTGGTTTGTGTTCCAGCTGTCGATCAGCTGTGCGCAGCGTCTCCACTGCAGCCTGTGCGTCTCAACCCCCCCTCCTCGCAGCAACTCTATATCCACCAGTTAACATGAAATAAAACACACGTGTTGTGTTAAATTAGCTGCACAATTTACCACATCGGTGTTCTTAGTTTCCGTACCTCCTGTGTTTTACGAGCGACTTATCAAGTATTGAAGAACGGCATAAAACATGATTTAAACATGATGGTATATAAAACCATGCTCGTATCTATCTAACCTATAGAAAAGCTACACGGCGTCAGTTTAAAGTAATTCTGTCCTGCTTACCGCATCATTTAACGGAATACATTTGTTAACAAGAGAACATCGAGAGGTGATCAATA